ATTATATTATATTATATTATATTATATTATATTATATTATATTATATCATATGTTAAAAGAAATATTACTTTTGATATGGACATACATCTTTTTAATTTCGAAGTTAGATTGTCATTTCGGCTGATTGGTGCAGTTAACGGAATCATATTTCCCCGGCGCGAAAGGAGAGTAGGAATTTCCTACTATTTCCTTATATTTTATACATATGCATAAAACAAAACCGTGACTGACTACTGGACCGCCAAAACAAAGCGGTATTTGAAAATTCAACCTCTAACGTGAATACATGGAGTGTAAAAAGAGAAATTCATTCTACGCGAGGGAAGTCAACTTTATAACAAATACTTTGACATTAGCACAAAGTATTTCAGTGCCATTTGTTGAAAAAAAACTTTGGATAAAGCTTTGTTAATAGGAATACAAACGATAAGTAAGTTTAACTAAGAAAGTTTTCAAAGCTTTTCGACACGGATGGTCCGTTTTGTTTATTGATATTAAGATAAATTGTTTCGGACAAAAAGTTTTTAGACTTTGCGGGTGAGATCCAAATCGAGAAACTGTCGCAGAGTACTCTTAATCCTTCATTGTAGTAATTTATCTAAGTTATTGATTCTCTTACTTAGCGGTGAAGGTGAACATGTGAAGAGGCAGCGCGAGTAGGTCACATAATCCGATGAGCCTTGGCTCTGCGGCCGGAGATTATTAGCTTGCGTCCCTCAAACTGAACGCGTGTGTTAATTTACCTTACAGAATAAATCGTAATAAATTACGTTAGAAACTACGAATGCAACTAGAGCACGATATTATCTTCTTGTAGACTACATTTTTGGGATATAAGATACACAAATAAATTTAAACTTATTACCAGTGATCGAAATTCAGGGACTTAATCTAAAGTATTAATGTTTTCTTACTATACGAGGACATATCCATTTCGTCATCACATCGTTGCAAATTTAATATTTCTTATATATTAAAAGTAAGTACCATAGAAAAACGAAAAAACTTTCTCAAAAAGTAAAAATTTCGTGGAGAATAGTTTTGTTGATCGTCATTGAAATAAAAGGATAATGAATTTTGGAACATGAGGGTTTTTTCAGTCGTTTGCTTTTTGAATATGGTTTTCAAATATTTACAAAATTTCTTGTCGACCAAAATGACACTTAAGGGGTTTTAAATTTGCAATGATTATAATTTTTTTTTTACTGTTTATTTTCGAAATAGTCCAAAATTTAGTTTGTTTCACGTTTATTTTTTAAACGGCTAAAGTATTTAAATACGTAAGTACCTACAACATTATTTTTGAGACAATAATTTGTAGCAAATACTTAATAGGAAATAATAATTTGTCGCCAATGTACTCAAAGTAGAAGGGAATGTTTACATTATTCTTTAGTTTAGCTAAAGTGACTACCTCAATTCTGATCACTACCTATTTATTACATAGTTAAATTTATTATTTCTCCCAGCAGTGGGTCCAACAGTCCTAAAGGGGTATAATAATTTGGCAGCGATTATTATTTAAGAGGATTATGAAGCCATAGTACGCACGCGTTCGCATGCGCACTTGGCTTTCCACAGTAAAGCGCCCGGTGGACAAGAGTTGCTGATATAGCTAACATTTTTCAAAATTCCCATAGCGCTCTGGTACCCGTAAAAATTGCTACGTTTAATTGTTCCAAAAAAGATTCAGAACACGCTTGTAGATAATGAAAGTCAACTATTCCAATATTGTAATATACTAACTGCTCAGAACAAAGTAAATACTGCCCTATTAATAGATGAATATCGTAACTTCACAAAGATCAGATCAGATCAGATCAGAGAGTCACGTCACACTATATTAAGAGAAATAGTTCACCAAAAGAAATTTATACTGCCTAAATTCTACAACCGTTATGGAAAAAGTATTTTTAAATATTTTTTACCTGCATTGATGAACAAAATGAATGAGAAATTTATCTGCAATTATCAAAACTCATATATTAAGAAACATTTAAAAAAACTTGAGATGCAAACTTTATTTTGTAATTTGCTCAATTGTTATTGTACGAGTATGTAAGTTAACATTTTTTTGGACCTGTCTTAATGCAATTAAGTTTTTTGTGTAACATGATAGGATACCAGTCTTTTTATTCATTGTTTTGCTCCATTATATTTTTACTTAAATTAGCCTCAACGCCTTCGCCGTGGATAAAGCCGGAAGGGCTTTGCTGACCCATGCTTGTACGTAGTAAATAAGATGTTTTTCTGTATTTTGATCAATATAAATACCGACGCTTCACAATGTTCTGAAGTATATACTGTCTTAACCATAATATAACGGAAAACTCTACAAAATAACGACTATTTTGCGATCTCATAAAATATATAAATCTGATACGTCCTATTACATTTCAATCGATCTGTTTATTAACTCCGATATGAGAATGTACTTTTCCAATAAGAGTCAAATCCCCGTTATGGAAAGAAGGTAATAAGTGGGTACGTATTTTCGCGAAAAATCTCGACGCGGCAGAGCGTGAAAGTCGTAAGAGCCGGGAGCGGATTCCTGCGTAGCAAAAAACGAGCAAGTAATAGCGCTAAGGCATCGTAGCGTAGATATTCTAATAAGAAAATTTCCACTACATTTACTTTGGCGGGCGTCCTCGCGGCGTCTTGGCAAATATCTTATTTCCTGCGGCGAGATTGCATCTTGAGAAAACGCGAGGGTAGATTCAGTACCTCACTATTCGCTTCCCTATCCTCCCAGCATCTACGGTTACTACGGATAGTTATATATATATATATATATGACCCGGGACGGAGTCAAGATACGAGACCGAGTGCTACGCTAAGTGCTACGTTTCGTAGGTTGCTACGGTTCGTAGGTATATTGAATTATAATTTAATTTAAGCAAATTGTTTTGTATTCTTATAGCTATGATTTATTAGGTTTACAATATATATACAATATATATATTATAATATCATATTACGAGTATATATTTCTATTATAATTGGTTTATATTATATTTGTTATAAGTTCCGGTGCCCCACAATAGCATACTCAAAGAGCTATAAGTTTAAGACAAGTTATACACATCAAAAGTGTCTAGGGATCAAGAACGTTTTTGCCAATTACTCAATATAATATATATTTTATATATTAAAATTGAATTATATAAATTATAAATAAAATAAATAAAAAATAATAATAATAAAAATTAGGTTTTTTTATTATTTTACGCCATTGGATTTTTCCTTCTAATAATTTTGATCTTCGAATTTGAAATTGAAAATTGAATTGACCAAAAAATCCATTGATTTAAAAAACCTGATTTTTAGTAATTAGCAAAATGGTACTTGTTCCCTAGACACTTTCCATAAGTGTATTTTAGCTTTCACTTTATTATATGACTTAGAAGCAATCGAATGCACAGTTCTAACCCGAATCAGTATACATGCATGCAATTTCTAACAATTACAATCACTCAATAAAATCTAAAATATTTGACGTCGTTTTATAGAATTCATTATTATAGAAAACTTAGTTTTAAGTTTATAATTCATAAATAACGCCCAGAACTAGTGAATCATAAAAGTGTCGTATTTCATCACGATAATGCCAAACCACACCTTAGAGGATGGAAAAAAATAAAAGAAAGGAGCTGCCCTAACTACAGAATCAACGTGCTTATAACCAACATTTTAAAGTTACAAATGGCGGATTTCTTTAGTGTTGTACCATAATCTATCG